GGATAGAAAAATTAATTAGTAAACCTTTATGGAAGTGAGTTGTGAAAGGTGGTAAAGATGATTATAGTAGAACCAAAATTGTCCTTGGTGGTTATTTTATTATCCACCTAATCTCAGTTGGATTAATGAGTTGAATGTTATATCGACTACTTATCCAAAAGAAAAAAGATAAATGAAGTTTGATAATTTTCATTAATGGCTTAGTAGTAGCCATATTAATTCCTTATCAACTCGGTGATGATTGATTTGTTAATTTAATAGTTGACTTTTTTAGCAAAGTCAGCAAATTTTCTCAGTTTCTAGCTTTTATTGGATTAGTGATGGCTATCGTTGGTATAGTTCTTTACTTTGTTGATATTAAGATTGGAAAGTCTGAAAGTGAAGAAAAACCCAAAGAGGGAGAAAAATATTAAAACTGGCAAGCAACTTGAAAACAAATTAAAGCAAAAAGAAAATCTTTCCAAAGCCAAATTTGAGTATTATTTAGATATTTTAGATGATATGAAAATAGTTATAGATGAGAAAGCAGGAATTATTTCTGATTAGAGATAGAGAACTTCTGGAAATAACAGCAAAATACCAACAGTTGTTAAATTTTATAGAATTTACATTTGCTGATATTGATTAAAAAAGCATAAAATAAGTATTATGGTAAAGGCACAAGAGTGGTTAGAGGAAAATTATCCTGATAAGGAAACAGAAAGCATATATATAAACCAACAATTAGAAGGAATTTTAGATTGTAGTGGATATGAAAGATTGGAATATATATTCATTTCTACCTCAGTAGATAGGAGTAAGTTAGAGATAAAAGGAGGTTCTTATGAAGGAAAAGAAACCAAAATAATCCCCTGTATTCCTACCCAAGAATATATAAATAAAGAATATCCTAAAAATGGAACTTGTATAAGGGAGAATGAGAACTTTGGTGATAAAAACTTTGGTAAAACTAGGGAAGAAATAACAAAGTTAGATATAAAAAAAAAAGCCTTGGAAGGAGAATTAGACCTCTCTGATTTTAAGAATTTAGAGGAATTAGATTGTTCTGATAATTACCTTACTAATCTAAATCTGAGTAATTTAGCAAAGTTAGAGACACTTTCTTGTTCTGATAATTACCTTACTCAGATACCTTATCTTCCTAATCCCAAAAAAATAACTGATTTAAGAATAGACAATAACAATATAAATCCCTCAGACCTTGCTATTTTTAGTCAGATGAGGAATTTAGAAAGGTTATGAATTGGTAATACATATAAAAACAAAATTAACCAAAATATTTATAATCATTTTCAAGGAAGTTTAGAGCCTTTAAGGGATTTGAAATTAAGGTGATTAGATATTTCCCATACTGATATAGATAGTGGTTGAGAATATTTATCCGATAGTTTATGAAGTATTGATTATAAAACAGACCTAAGACCTAAATGTAAATTAGCCTTAGCAAAAGCAGAGTTAGAAAAAGAAATTTGAGCAGATATTCACAAAGATTTTGTTCCTTATTATAAAAAAGAATGATTAGAAGTAGGATGTAGTAAAGAACAAACTAAAAAAATCTTTGAAGAATGAAGTCAGGCGGGAGTTAGACCCCAAGACAGAGCCTTTATCAACTGATTTCTTAACTTCAAAAAACTAGACCTAAATTGAGCCTTAGAAAATGAAGAGGAGTTTAAGGAGTGAAGAGATAAATATTGGTCTTTTGGAACCTGTAAAGAATGTAATCAGCCTAATACTAGCAAAAACTGATGTCAATCCTGTAATGCTAAACATTTTCAAGCAGAATTTAACAACTGAACCAGTGGTAATTCTCAGATAGATAAATTTATTCAGCAATGCCAATTAGAAGCAACTAGCACCTGAAATGTTTTAGAATGAATTCCTTATGAGAAATTTTATAATATAGAACATATAGCAGATGGTGGTTTTGGTAAGGTTTATAAAGCCAAATGAGAAAGGGGTTCTATTGAAAAATGAGATAATTGAAGTGGAAAGTGAGAAAGGAGTGATTATTACGATAAAACAGTAGCCTTAAAAACTCTCTCTAACTCTCAAAATCTAAGCCAAGATTTCTTACAAGAACTAACCCTTTATAAAATGTTTAGAAGTTCAGTAAGTAATATGGTTCCTTGCTATGGTATTTCTAAGGATTTAGAGGGGAATTATATCATGGTTATGGAGTATATGGAAGAAGGAAATTTAAGAGAGTATTTAAAAAAGAATAGGGAATTAGATTTAAAAAGCGAAATTGACTTCCTACCACAAATCATCCAAGGTCTAAAAGATATTCATCGTAAGCATTTAGTTCATCGTGATTTCCATAGTGGGAATATTATTGTTGATGAGAATAAGAATTATCCTTATAAAGATGTATGTCGTATCACCGACTTAGGTCTATCCAAACCAGCAGATGAAAAAGATGATAACCAAGTTTATGGGATAGTTCCTTATGTAGCCCCCGAAGTTTTAAAAGGAGAAAAGTATATTCAGAATAGTGATATCTACTCCTTAGGCATGATTATGTATGAAATAATTACTGGAATACCTCCTTTTGGCAATGAAAGTCATAATCTTAAATTATCTTTAAGAATTTGCCGTGGAGAAAGACCTAAATTTCCTGACCAAGTTAAATATCCCCAATTACTAATAGATTTAATTAAACAATGCTGAGACCAGGAACCCAACAATAGACCTACTGCTAGGGAAGTAAGTGGTATAGTAGGAGAGTGGTTTGATAGAGGATGAATAAAATCAGACACCCAATTCTACTACCAATATAAAGAAGCCGAAGAATACAATGAAACTTTACCAGATAAAATCCAATATCCTACTTATCATTCCCAAGAGGTTTGACATAGTAAACCCATAAATACTAAACAAATCACTCAATTATTACAACAATGTGATAGTGGACTTTTGAACTTAACTATCCAAGACGAACCAGAACAAACTCCCCAAATAGAAATCCCACCTAAAAAATAATAAATATTATGTTTACTCATCAACAAGCACTAGACAAATTAAAATTAGTAGCCAAGAGGCTTAAAAAACCCC